TATACATATATATATATACACACATATATATATAAATATATCACTATCACTACCAATATATATATAGACACAAACACAAACACAAACACAAACACACACAATAAGGATATATATATATAATATACATATATATGAAATGTATCGATGTCATTGCCAATACTCAAACACACACATATATATATATATATGAAATATATCTATGTCATTGCCAATACTCACACTCACACACACACACACACACACTCACACACACCTATATATATATATATATACATACACACACACACACACATATATATATATATATATATGTATATATACATATTTACATACATATATATATATATATACGCGCGCACAGACACACACACAGACACAGACACGGACACACACAGACACAGACACAGACACACACAGACACACACACACATATATATATATATGTATGCACATACACATACACAAACACATACACACACACACACACACACACATATATATATACTATATATATATATATATATATATATATATATATATATATTGTGTTGTATGTTCAGGCGCTGTTACGACAAGCTTGAATAGAACCCTTGCGAGCATGGTTGGTAAATGAATAACTCACCTCTGAAAAAACATTCTCTTTGGGATACTTTTCAGTCCCCAAGAATAGTAAGTGCTCACAAAAATGAGCCAATCCAGGAAGTTCCTTTGGGTCGTGCAGGTGACCGACGTGTACGTCGAGCGCCGCCGCCGCTTTGTCAGCTTTAGGGTCACTCACAAGGAGTACTTTCAGACCGTTGTCCAGTTCCAAGTATTCATGCTGTCGTTTCTCTGAAGCACCAAGTTGGATGGCTGGTGACGTAGACATACTAGTGATTCCGATTGTGATCTAAATTTGACGTGAACTTCTCTATTCTACTACCTTTTCAACAATACACGTACGAAACAAAGTTTAAAAAAAATAGTATGGTGTGTGCTTGTATCAGTATGTACGTATGTATACTTTTAAAAAAATGGCTCTCGTCGGTGATGTCAGATGAACAGCGATAAAGTGAAATCGTGCCTGAATATACGACATTGTTTTCTATTCTTCATCACGGGCACAGTCATGCGAATCAATAGTTGAATAATGGTAAATATGTACAAAGTGGTATTCATCACACTTTTGAGGCATGTTTCAAATGGTGAAGGGCGCCCAAAACCCAAAGGGAATTAAACTGAATACAAATAATCATAGCTCCCCCCGCGCCCCCCCCCCCTCTGAAATTATTGGCAGAGGGTCTATAATAATAAAAAAATTCAACTGCAATTTAGTTATTTATGTAGTAGGATATGATGCGTTTTGCAAGCTACAATGAGAGTCATCACTCGTAACACATAACAACTTTGACAAGAAACCGGAACAATTCCACAACCCCCCAAGGTTATTTAAAAGATTACTCAACCCCACCCAATTGACATTGCTTAGCAACATAGATATACCATTATGCCTGTCTTGTGTGTAGACGAGAGCACTTGCAAGAAGGCAGAGGTCAGTCAGGGCGATGCACTTGCACAAATAGTAGCAGAAGCCATTGACAACCCAGAAGTGTTTGTCTTCGGAGAGCTAGTTGCGTTGACCACCGTACAGCAGCTTAAATCAACACATGCCGAAATATATGCCGCACTAGAAATATTTGCACATGGCACACTTAAAGACTACAAGCAAAGGTATGTCAGGGTCGGTTGA